AATTATAATTCTTAATATTAGGGGAGGGACCTGGTGGGAGGTGATTAGATAATGGGGGCGGATTTCCCCCTTGCTGTTCTCTTGATAGTAAGTTCTCATGAGATCTGATGGTTTAAAAGCGTGTAGTCCTTCCCCCTTCACTCTCTCCTCTTCCTGCTCTGCCATGTGAAGAAGGTGCTTGCTTCTCCTTCACCTTCTGCCATGATTGTAAGCTTCCTGAGGCCTTCCCAGCCATGCTTCCTGTCCAACCTGTGGAACTGTGAGTTCATTAAACCTCTTTTCTTCATAAATTACCCAGTCTCAGGTAGTTCTTTATAGCAGTGTGAGAACAGACTAACACAGATGCTTTTGGCTTCAGGTTTCAGAAACCTGGCTCATTTTGTCTGAAACCAAATAGGAAGAAAAAGAAGGCATAAGAAAGAGAAAATAATTAATTGAGAAAACACAATACAAATCAAGAAGGGAAGCAGAAAGAAAAAGAAAGGAGAGAGAAAGACAGAGAGGGGTTTAGAGAGGTTTATTTTCAGTAGCCATTAGTTTTGGGATGCTCCCCAGAGACTTCTCTGCCCAAATTTTCTTCCTGGGTTTTCAAGATTATTCTTCTTATGTTTTTAGTGTAAACTGCTTCAAATTCTTTAGGTAATAGGCAGGCACTAAATAAAACAATACTACATTGACTTATAGGCTTGTCATTATCTCTGCTCTCTAGGAGTATAAATCTCATGGAGAAGACTGTGCAAAATTATTATTATTATTATTATTATTTGTTTGAGACAGAGTTTCGCTTTTGTTGCCCAGGCTGGAGTGAAATAGTGTGATCTCGGCTCACTGCAACCTCCACCTTCTGGGTTCAAGTGATTCTCCTGCTTCAGCCTACCAAGTAGCTAGAACTATAGGCATGCGCCACCATACCCGGCTAATTTGTATTTTTAGTAGAGAAGGGGTTTCGCCATTTTGCATAGGCTGGTCTCAAACTCCTGCTTCAGCCTCCCAAGTAGCTGGGATTACAGGCGCCCACCACCACACCCAGCTAAATTTTTTTTGTATTTTTAGTAGAGACAAGGTTTCATCATGTTGGCCAGGCTGGTCTCAAACTCCTGACCTCAGGTGAGCCACCCGCCTCAGCCTCCCAAAGTGTTGGGATTACAGGCATGAGCCACCGCAGCTGGCACAAAATATTTTAACAATGTAACGTTTCTGCCCAGTCAATGGGATCATTTGGAAAGGCATTTTGCTTCTTTTTTTTTTTTGTAAGCAACAGGGTCTTGCTCTGTCACCCAAGCTAGAGCACAGTGGTACGATCATAGCTCACTGCAGCCTCAACCTCTTGGGCTCAAGGAATTCTCCCACCTCGGCCTCCCAAGTAACTGGGAGTACAGGCACATGCCACCAAGCCCAGCTAATTTTTCTATTTTTTGTAGAGATGGGATCTCACTATGCTGTCCAGGCTGGTCTCAAACGCTTGGCCTCAAGCCATCCTCCCACATTGGCCTCAAGCCATCCTCCCATCTTGGCCTCCCAGAGTGCTGGGATTACAGGTGTGAGCCACCTCATCCAGCATAGAATGGCATTTTGAATAGGCCAATATGTGTGGACATATGCCCTAAAAGGGTTGGTTTCATTGAAGTAACACAGCAGGAAGCCAGAAACAAAAGCCTTGAATCAGAGATGAGATTCCATCTCTGGGCCTTTCATAACCATGCATGGCTTCAAATTCCCCATCCTCTAAGTATGAAATAACATCTTATCACCCTAGTTATGATTATAGAATGAAAGATTGGATAGGTCTTTAGGAAAGATGAACTTATTTTTCAGATATGCAGACAGGGACCCTGAAACTCAGTAACGGCAGCAGACCAGCTGGGTTCCAACAGGGTCGAACCTACTTTCTAGCCTTGTGTTCTACTGTGATATAATACAGACTGATGAATTTGTTTCTCTTTGTCTCTTTCTGACCATCACAGCAACTGATATCTACACAAGAGAAGAATATACATGCTGAAAGAACAGGATCACCTGGAGATATGTACCAATTCTGTGTCTCAATGAGAAATTTACAAATATCTGTATAGTTCTTAATGTAGAGATTGGTCCTTATCTAACAACGGAAGTTCAAGTTTCTAACTGCTTTCCTTTTGGCCTGATTTGATAAGGATCAGATTAGCAAATCAGAGTAAAGGTGAGATGGGGATGTAAATATTCATTGGCCTCTGACATTTCTAAGCAAGAAAGCCAAGGACTTCTACCAAGCCTGGAGACTGTTTCTCTTAAGATGCCAGGAGGAAGTGCTAGTCCAGGCTCCAAGAAACACTGACCCATGTGCCATTTTGAAAACCCCATCAGATCTACACGATCACAGTAAGAGAAGAACGTTTATTTCTATCGCCTATTGGCCACTGCCTGGTTTCCATTCAACCTAGAAAGAGGTTAAAATATATATATATAGCCTATGCTGTGATCTCACTGCATTGAGTATGATAGCTTTCACAGGAGTCTTTACCTCATTAAGATGGGTCGGGTAAGGATTTAAATTAGCCCATCTTTCCTCTCTATCACACATTCATTTCAACACTGTAATGAGTATTTCATAAAGGTTTTATGATTCTCAGTGGTATGGTGAATAGCCTTTGGCCTTTAAATCAAATGACAGAAAAAAAAGGTTTCTTCAGGCAGAAAAAATGAAGATTCTATTTCTGTTCCTAGATTGAGTTATTAGTCACCTGGTTTCACATTAAACTTTGATGATAAATTATTCAATAGCCATGATATCAGAAGTTCTGCTGGCCAGAACAAATTGCCAGTAACTACCCGCATGACTAAGAGAAAGCACTACCTCTAATTTCCCCTTTCTTTTGCCCAGGAGATTGTGGTTGCGATCTCCCAGTCCTGCTGGCTCCAATACCTGCCTGCCTGCCTTTTTTTCTTCCTTCCTTCCTAACCAAATTCTATCTTCCCTAATAAGAATACACTAGTATTCCATTAGGAGAGCCAGACAGAGAGAGAGAGAAAGAGAAAGAGAGAGAGAAAGGTTACCAGATTAAAGTTTTTATCAGACGGTATCTCCCAAGCAACCTAAAGTGTTTAGTCTGTCAGTCCCTTCCTCACATCTCCAAAGGGCCAGGAGGGAAGGAAGCCCTTCGTAGAGCGTATTGTGGAACTGGGCCAGCCCAATGCACTTTTAATTCCTCAGGAATAGCATCACTGTCCCCGTTGTTTCCCTGGGAGGTCATTCTACTGCCTATAGCTTCCACTCTACTATGGAAATAATTGTTTCTCCACCAAATTCGTAAGTTGAAACCCTAATCCCCAATGTGACTGTATTTGGAGACAGGGTTTACAAGGAGGTAACTAAGGTTAAATGAAGTCATACAGTTATTTTACCTTAATTAAATCAGGGTGGGTCCTTAAAAGAAGAGATAACAGAGCTCTTCTTCTTGCTCTTCTTCTCTTTTTCTTTGTCCTTTATTTTTCTTTCTTTTCTATTTTTTTGTTTCTTTTTCTTCTTTGCTCACAAAGAGGAGACTATGTGAAGACACAGCAAGAAAGCAGCCATCTGTGAGCCAAGAACGGAGCCCTCACCAGAAACCAAATCAGCCAGCACCTTGATCTTGGACTTCCAGCCTCCAGAACGTGAGAGAATAAATGTCTATTGTTTAAGCCACCTAGTCTGTGATATTTTGTTATGGAAGCCTGAGCAAACTAAGACACACTTCAGTTCCTTTCTGCCCGTTTCCTTCTTTGTAGTGCCCTCTTAGTACCTGCAAATTACTCTTTGGAGACTTACAGTCTTGAAGCAGAGGCACATTCCCACTTCTCCTAAATAGCAGCTTCCCTGAGCTGCACATATTAAATTATTTTAAGCTCACCCCATTTTTTCAGATTTTTAAGGCTCTTCTCCATACTTTGCTCGATTTCAACTGGTACATTACTTAGTATGGATGACAAATTTCAACCCCATAAGCCATCTTGCATCAACAACTACAAGACACAAAAACTCAAACACTCACTGTATCCTCCAGTATGAGTGCATGTGCGCATATGTGCACACACGCTGGTTTGTTATATTTATTTCGTGAGTGTCTTAGTCTGTTTTCTGCTGCTATAACAGAATACTACAGAATAGGTAATTTATAAAAAATAAAAGTTTATTTTGCTTATGGTTCTGAAGGCTGGGAAGTCCAAGAGCCTGGTGCTAGCATCTCGTGAAGGTCTTCATGCTTTGTTATCCCACAGCAGAAGGCAGAGGTGAAAACCAGTGCTCAAGGCATAGAGAGGCACCAGGGGCTGAACTCACTTTTTAACAACCCACTGTCATGATAACTAACCTGCTTCCATGATAATGACATTAATCTAGTCATGAGGGCAGAGCCAATCACCTCTTATCAAGTCCCAACTCCCAACACTCCTGCATTGGGAATTAAGTTTCCAACACATGAATTTTGAGGGGGACACATTCAAACTATAGCAAGGGGTAAAGGTAAAACATTATGGCCATTTAGGTTTCCTTGATTCTACCCAAGTAGAAATACAAAGAGAAGCCTGAGTTCCACTTCCCCTATCTCATCCAAATATTTCTCTTCAATGAGATGTTGGAAGCCCATCCAGGGATTGGTTAAAGATGGCAAAATACATAAGAAACCAACTTCCTGCATATTTCCAATGGCGAATTTGTTCCATTAAAAGGCATTAAATGGGAGCATGTACAGGATGAGTATTTCTCAGATTCCTGTGTGAGAAAGCAAGCTGGGGATTCTGCTCATGTTTCCTGTGTTTGGACAGAGTCCACGCTGGTAAGCTCCTCTGCAAGAGATGAACAGAATCCAGTGTTATCTAAATGTCAGAGGGGATCATTCTAGAGAGTAGCCCCTTAAACTCTCTAAGGAGAGAAGGTTAAATTCACTGTCAAAACTTCCAGACATTCCACTCCCTCTTCCTCAAAGGAAACCTCAGAGCTGAGGTACCAAAGTGACATCAAACAAACAGAAAGTCATAAATGTTACCTGCCTCTGTAGCACTGCAGTTGGTGCATAGACAATGAGCCACAATAACACTGACAGCAGCCCAGCTCTCTCCTTGATCATTTTGGCTGCAGGCCCTCATAGGCATAAATCGCTGTTACATAGGTCCACTGTGCATTTTAGCAATTTCAGGTGTTAGATATTTCAAATGATTTTATTCCAGTGACAAGGGGTGGGGTAAGCAACTGTCTATGGAACGGAGGTTGTGAAGAAGCGGCCACTTCAGGTTCCCCCTGGTGCACACACACCCAGAGCCCTGTAGGCGGAGACACAGAGCTGTCCATCTGAGCAAGCGGGACTTTGTTCTTATTTGTCTTCCCCACAAAATATGTACACTTAACATTGCAACTTTTCCTTTCCATTTGCATCTGTGAATCCTAGGGAGAAATCATAAATATCTGCATGTATCTATCTACCTATACATTTAAATACATGAAAGTTGGCAGTGGCTTTCTTTTTTCCATTTCAATTGATAGGCACAATGCATAAAAAGGAAATCAGTGTTGATCTTATTTTATCAAAGCAATTTCAAGAAATCTTTTAGTCAAAGATGAAAATAATCAGCTATTTCTTAGCACTGTGTTCATTGGTAATTCATGTTCCTGCGGAAATACAATGACCACACCTGCCATTGTGCTTTCGGCCAGACCTTGCTTGGAGAACATTTAAAGGACGGTGTGTTTATTCTACCTGCATATGAGGAGGTGCACAGATGCCCTCATGTAACACATCACAGTCAGAAACTCTATCATATGCAACCTGGGCATGGGATGGGACCATCCATGTACAGGTGCCAGCTCTGCCTGGAGCTGGGTAGAGAGACCAGATGGCTGCTGGGAGGGTTCCTGCTTCTCCTGATGCTCTGGACACACCAGATGGGAAAGTACTAGCAAATACGCATGCTGTTTTCTCTGGACATGTTGATGCCTGAATAAATGTCCTCCTTTTAAGCAGCGTACTAGTTTCCTGTGGCTACCGTAACAAATTGCCACAAGCTTGGTAAATTAAAACAACCAAAATTTATTTTCTCATAGCTCTGGGGGCCAGAAGTCAAAAATCAAGGTGTCAGCAGGGCCATGCTCCCTCTGAAATCTCTAGGAGAGAATCCCTTCTTGCCCCATTCAGCTTACGGTGGCCCCAGACATTCCTTGGTTTCTGGCAACCTAACTCTAGTCTCTGCCTCTGTCTTCACAGCCTTCTCTACTGTGTCTCTGCGTCCCAATCTTCCCTCTCCTTTCTCTCATACAGACATCAGTCATTAGATTTAGGGCCCACTCTCAATCCAGAATAAACTCATCTTCACTTAATTACCTCTGCAAAGACCCTGTGTCCACATAAAGCGACATTCATAGTACTGGGGGCCAGAACTTGGACATATATTTTTGGGGGACATAATTAAACCCACTACAAGCAGCATATCCAAGATGTCTTGTGGCACACTGACTTGTTACAAATTGCAGCCATCCCCAAATCATTTTCCTTTTCTTTTCTTCATACCCCAGGAACTAGAACTACAAATAGAAGCTTCAGTGAAAACATGGCATGCTCACAGGTTTTGACCTGGAAGCAGGGAGAAAAGGCATTTATAAGACCCTACAATCTGGACATTATGCTAGCCTGGAAACTCCACACTTGTTCTCTTCCAATCCTGTAAAATAAGGATTGCTGTCACCAGACTGCAGATGAGGTTACTGTGGCTCAGAGTAACCCACCCAAGGTCTCCCAGAAATCTCTGGGCAGGTGCAGGTTTGGAGACTGTGTCTATCTGACTACACAGCCTCATGCACTGTGTGTATGAGGATGTAGGGACAGAGTCAGAATAGATGGCTGCAATGTGGCAGCATTTGGAGAGCTCTTGGGAGGGCCCACACCATTCCCCCACTAAGCTGCCTTACCAGCTTGTTAGTGCCTGTTTTTCCTTCACAGGCAACAGCCCCTTCCGTTTTATAAATACACATAAGGGCGTAACCCAGAGAGGAGTAGTACCTTCTCTGAAATACATACCAAAGGTAGACCAGCTCATTTTCAGAGGCAGATTTGATCAGAAGAAGAAAACATAGAAGACAGCAAGGGCTGCTAGCAGACCCCCCTGAGAAAGAGGTTGAAGGCATCTAAAGACAGAAAATTGTGCAGTCCACTATCTTAGCTCCAGCGGCTGTAACAAATTTTCAGAGACTGGGTGGCTTAAATAACGAACATTTACTTCTCAGTTCTGGAAGACCAAGATCTAAGTGCCAACTTATTTGGTTACTAGTGAGGGCTCTCTTCCTGGTTTGCAGATGGTCATCTTCTTTTATCCTCATATGGTGCAGAGAGGAAGCCAACTCTCTCGTGTCTGTTATTTTTCTTTTTGAGAATATGCTATTTTAAAATTTTTATGGGTACATAATAGTTGTACATATTTATGGAATACATGTGTTACAAGTATGTAATGTGTAATGATCAAATCAGTGTAATTGGGATATTCATTGCCTTAAACATTTATCATTTATTTGTGTTGAGAACATTCCAAATCCACTTCTCGAATTATTTTGAAGTGTATGATAAATTACTGTTAACTATAGTTGCTCTATTGCGCTACCAGATCACTAGATCTTATTCCTACTAGCTAATTGTATTTTCATATCCATTTTTTATATGGGCACTTATCCCATCATGAGAGCTCCATTGTCGTGACCTAATTACCTCCCAAAGGCCCCACCTCCTAATACCATCACATTGGGGATTAGGGTTTCAACATATAATTTCTGGAGAGACACAAACATTCCATCCATTACGGTAAGTATGCCTGGAGCAGTCAGCTTGCTCTGTCTGATCAATTCTGTGTGGGTATCTGACAGCGAGGTGATTCTGGATCAGTCAGGCACCTCTATTTGTCTCAGGTTCCTATCTATAACACAAAGTGAGAATAAACATTTCCACCTGTCGAGGATCCAGAACGGCTTCCCTGGAACTGCTTGATGCTGGATTGGGCAATGTTTTACATGGAAACAAACACAGGTCACATACTTTGATCCAGTAGACAAATTGAAGTTAGGCCATCAAAATAAAACCGGAAGAGAATCTTTTGAAAAAGAAATTAAATTAATAAATATTTTCTCTAAATAGAAAAGTAATGAGCAGGGTGTATAGAGAAAACCATGACAATTCTATAAAATAAGTTAATATATTCTTTAGACAGAACCAGGAAATCAAAGAAATATAAAGTCCCAGCACAAAAATGTGCAAGATAATTTGATAAACCATTCCCTGACAAGAAAGTAACTACAGTTAGAACAGCAAGAAGAAATCTAAGGGAATGGAGCAAAAGCAAACAGGCTAAAATAAAGCAAGAGGGATTCTGGTGAGATATATGGAAGAACTTCCAGACCGTTATAGGGATGAGGACTAAGCTCAGTTTTTGTTTTTGTTTTAATCTTGCCCAAATTCCTTTCTAAGGGGTCTGGGGAGTCATGCCCTACAAACCATAAATTCTCATCAGAAGGGTTTTGTTTAACCCTGTATATCATGGCTTACTTCTCAATCTGACTCTGATATAACAAGGGAAAAAATCAAAATGTTTTACCGCAAAATATATTTCCTTGGCATACCTTGGAATTGCCCTGCAAAGTCTCTTGTAGGAAAAATCCGCCTTCTATAGAGAATCCCTTTCCCCCTTTGTTTTCCTTCCTTCCTTTCCAGATCCAGGAGATTATCAACCAAGAGTCAAGCACCCGTTTAAGTCCGGTAAGAAACATTTTACAACTTGCTCTCTCTGAAGTCTACTATCTGAGAGCTTCCTCTGCACAATAAAACTTGGTCTCCACAATCCTTTACCTTACCCTGAACGTTTCCTTCGATCCCAGGTCTTCAGATAAACTCAACCAATTGTCAACCAGAAAATGTTTAAATTTACCTATAGACTGGAAGCCTTCCCCATTTTGTGTTGTCCTGCCTTTCTGAATGAAACCAATGTATTTCTTAAACGTATTTGATTGATGTCTCATACCTCCCTAAATATATAAAACCAAGCTGTACCCTGACCACTTGGGCACATGTTCTCAAGACCTTCTGAGGGCTGTGTCATGGGCCATGGTCACTCATATTTGGCTCAGAATAAATCTCTTACAATATTTTAAAGAGTTTGACTCTTTTCGTCAACAGGTATAAACTGTTGATCCAAGGAGGTATAGAGCTTATTACCCACAGATATTCAGAAAAATGATACATATTTCTATTTAGTTTCCTAACAGCACAATAGAGGGAGTTTTCTGATACTTGGAAACTTTTAAGAGAAAAAAAAAATTACCTTTTAATATACATTTGATCCCCCCAAAAAGTGTTTTTCACGGTTTTATATAATAATGACTACTATTTTCCTAGTGTTATAGTAATAAGTATATATGATAATGATTATCATTCCATAGAAAGATGTACTAATATTTTTAGAACATCTTTTGGGTGCCACATACTTTTCACATATGAACACACATAACCACCTGTAAGGAATAAGGAGCCTGAGATGCAGTGCATTCGAGTAATCTTTCTATATCATGTGGCTAATCGGTGATATGACAGGAATTCAAAGCAAGTTTGGCTGATTTCAAAGACCAAATTCTTACCACTACACTGAACTGCCTGAAATGTACAAGGCTGACATTTACAGGTTATGCTCTCTCAAGCATTCTGTAAGCTCCTGGAAGGCAGAGGCTCTGTATTTGGCCTCTGTCTTTCTCACATCTGCCCCTCCTCATCTAATCAGCCAGCCGATCTTGTGTCTCCTCCTTCTAAATACGTTTTGAAGGCATTAATTTCTCTACCTCATCAACTCCATTGCCTTCCAGCCAGCCACCACCACTGTCCTTTATAAGAAGTATGAAGACCACTAACTAACTTGCTCTGCCTCCAGGCTTGCCTTTTCAGAGTCAACTTTTTGTAGCTAGAGACAGCTTTCTAAAATGCAAATCTGATCAGGTTGTGCTCTTCCCTACAACTCTTCAATGATTTCACATTGCCTCCTGCAATGGACTGCATGCTTGCATTCCCTCAAGTTCCTATGTTGAAATCCTAAACCCGCATGTGATGGTATCAGGAGGTAGGGCCTTTGAGAGGTGATGAGAATGGTGCCCTCATGGATGGGATTCATGTCCTTATAAAAGGGACCCCAGAGAGCTCTCTCATGCCCTTTCCACCATGTAAGGATGCAAAAAGAAGTCAGCAGTCTGCAAGAGGAAAAGGTCC